TATGGATTAATATTCTATTATATATAAAATAGAATTTTTTTGATTTAAATATAGGATATTTGATTGTCAATATAATATAAGTTATTTTTAAATATTTATGGCCCTGCAAACAACTGGTAAAGGGAGAGGGTAGAAGCTAATATAACTCATGATCTAGGCCAATGAAAATTAATCTCCGTTCCCGAATTGCAGCGCAGCTGGAGGAGCAGGAAGTGATTGAACTTGTACCAAATATCATTCTGAATCCAGGATTTTTCGACGAAAGAACAGAACATATTCCACAAGATGAAAATTTTAATAACCAAACCACTACACGCTTAAACAATAATAGCGTTGTGCAACCTATGCGACTTTAGCGATTAAATATTTAGATTTCTGTGGCTAATTTTTATTAACAAGTGGCTTGAGCACAATTTATGTGTCACCTTAAACGTAAGTAACTGGAATTATAAGAGGCCTCGAATCCGCCAAATGTTACGAAGCGTAGACTCAAATATGCGATGAAGATGATAATTATGCAAAGAGGAAATTTATGTTTATAGTCAAAAAATCGTGAGATGCATCGTAAACTCCGAATATTCTAAGGAAGTAAATTTTTCACTTACAATACAATGTAAAGTGTTCAAAGCATATGTAAGACTCTGCTAGGTTTTGTGAAATGAAGTAGCATTTTTGAGAATGTTTATCAGGATGTTCTAATTAAAATTCAATGTTATTGCTCAGTAATCGAGCTTAAACTCAAGAACTCCTGTAACCGAAAAAAAAAGATTATTCTTAGTAAGACTGTAATTCTAAGAACAAAAGACAAAATTTCCAAGAAACTAAAATCATACGACATTAATATTAAGTGATGAATCTTTGTCTTATATCCTGCATGAACATGTTTTTTACACAATTATTTTTAACCATTATCATCTAATGAAAATGAAATTTTAATGGACAATATCATGCAGGAAATAAGATTTTTGCTAACAACACATTCAATCATTCAATAAATAAATTTTGTCAAATACAAGGTAAAGGCTTGCTTACTGCCGTTTTAAGGTGTGCAGAAGTCATTGGTAAAAAAGTTCCTTTTGCGTGTCTTTATAAAAGTTTTTTTTTATTTATTATTATTATAAGAATGCTTTTTTTTTTTAGATAATATTTTCTTCCAAAATAATTGATATTATAAAAATTAATGCACCATATACTCTTTCTGGAAAAATCCTGCGAATCAGAGAATATATAGTATAAAAATCATATATAATTATAAGTCATTTTATATTTATGTTCTTTCTAATAATATTATATTTCTCATATTTTTAACTTTGCATGCGATCATTCAAATATGTCTAATATTTCAACATGCTTTTGCACTACCTTAATAACAAATGCAATATTCACTGCTATTATAAAAAGCTATAAAATCAAATTTCATCAAAAATAAATTTTAACAAATATGAAATGGCACAATTCCGATGAACAATAAATTTCAGTACATAAACTTTTTTAGAAAAGTTAAAAACTCATTATAATATCTAGCAAGTAAGAATTATTCATAAACTACATTTGGTTAAATTTATTCCATTCAGATTAGTAGTAAATATAGAGAAAAATAGAATAAGTTAAAATATTTTGGATATCATCTTTGATAGAATCAAGTTTAATAATCGATCGTTGAAATAGATCTTTTCCAAATATTAATTTGTTATGAGAAATATCATCTCATTCAAATTGCATACAAAATTTAACTTAGTCAATCAATAAGGTTGATGATTTTGATAAAAGTTCTTCCTGTACAAACAAATACATAATTATTTTCCACAATTTACATGTAGTACCATATCAGAATTCATCATTATGTATAGTATATTAAAGTATATAAAGATAATAATAATGAGTGCTTAGTGTTGAGGCTTTTCTTAAAAATTACAAATAAAATACATTTATGATTATTACTTTTTTAAATGAAATTTTTCTCAGGAAAGAAGATAAATTTTATTTATTCTTGTTTTATTATTTTTTGTTAATTAATTTTGATTAGAACACCTTAAGTGATGGATGTGGAAATGGTTGTGGAAATTGATTCTCATGTCTATTAGTCTTTCATGTGTTACTAGTAAAGCTCATAATATAAGAAACATAATACCTTAACAATTCTACTTAAAATAATTATATAAGTTAAATATTGCTTTTGTCAATGTAAGAGATACTGACAAAAAGCAATTTGGTGCACGCAGGTTGTATAAATATTGGTTGTGCGTTGTTACATTGAAGCTTTGTGATCTGTTTCTCTCTAAAATATAATTTTATAGGGATGAACAGATTCAATTCGGCTTCGTACTATGCACTCTGTGTTGTGAATGGTATATATACGCGCTAATGAAAAAACAATACAATAACAATAATGATAACAATATAAATATATATATATATATTTATATAGCCGAGGCATCATAATATTTTAGCTATAAGCAAAGACAATTTTTTATATAAATTAATAATAATGCTGATGAAATGCAATGATGAATATTTATCTACATATTCATATATTTGGGTAATTTTGTGCTATGATATCGAGCTTCAAAAGTGATCTAGTAGACGCTCATTAAGAGTATTTCATGTAGAATATCATGTTCCTCTTTCCATTTAGAAGAGTCATGTTTTTTATTCTCTTTTTAAAAAATTACATAAAATAATCTTCATATTTACGAATCTTATTCAATATAATATTTTTGCAAACTAATAATGATTTTAATATTATTTTTCTATGAAAATAATTTTTTCTTTCTTTATTTAAAAGAATAATGCATCATATTACTTTGAAACATGACTCTTTATTCTATCATGCACATTCAAACTATAATCACTTGTTTTTTCTGAAAAATATAAATATATATTTCTGCTGAAATATATAACAATAGATGTATTGTAATTTAAATATTAACTGTCTCTATCAAAGCTGTCTGGTGAAGGCATAGATTTTGCATTTAGCGGCATTAATAATGTGGTAAAGCCTGATAAAAAAACAAGTATAAATGTTACTTGATATATAAAATGAAAAATTATTCTTATAACTATCAGCTGCTATGAAAATTAATAATAAAATTTAATCCTTTGATTTTAGGATTCTGCCATTGTATACCATAGATTTGCATATCTATCTATAGAAACAGTTATAAAATAATTTCAATTATATTAGAAATACAATCAATAAAATAATATCATTAAGATCAAGATAAATAGTAAGATAATTATGATTTTTTAATTAAATAATCATTATTTTTTTAATATTATATAAAATATTCGTTTTCTATAAATTAAGTATTTAAAATCAATTATGATATTAACAAACTTTATTATTAAGTTAAATTTTATCATACAATGTTTTTATCTTCCTATATAAAAAAATGTTCAAAGATTATAATGATGTAAAATAGATATATTTTTATGAAGTAGACATCACAAAGTTTACTTGTGTAAACTTAAATTTATAATTACAATGATAATGGCAGATTTTTATGTTATATTATAAATTATACAAAATTGATAAAAAAAATTTCAATCTGTTTCTAATCAAGACTGCTTTTCTTCATTTAATTCTTATTTCTTTCATTTTATTCTCTTTTGCATTGATAATCATACAAATACAAAGCTATTAAGCATGTGCATAACATTATACCTTTTGTAGTAAAATATATTGCATTAATATATTTACTTCACATAACATATTCATATGAAATATATTAAGTACAGCACAATACTATAGAATAGTATAATGGTTGCTGGTAGCACCATGAATCGTCCCTAACATACATATTGCTTGCCTATGACATGTGAGAAAAATAAGAAATTTTTGTAGTATGTAGTTTTTACAAAAAGCTTTTCAAATTGCTTGTTGTACTCTTTTTTACAAAAAAACTCATTTTATTATATGAGATTTTAAATTATATATGTATTTACAAATCATATTTGTAAATACTAATCATTTCTAAATTCTTTTACTTTTTGTAAAAACTACACATCTGTCGTATCATTACCTACTAGACTAATAATGTTAGTTTAACATCCTTATATTAAGTGATGATAAAAGAGATTTAAACAATATCTCCATAAATAATGTTATAGTAAATAAGTATTAATCTTGGTATTAATTATACGATATTCAGTTATAGATTAGCTAAATATTTTTGGTAATTTCTTTACACGATTATTTATTTTGTAAAAAAATCGAAAAAACAAAAACATGTTAGAATCGAAATTTGTATATAGTATTCGCATTATTGTTTTGTTTCTATTTTGTTCATATTTTATAAAATGTTAAATACGATTGATTTATTAATTTACTTTATTTACGTTAATTTTATTATCTGTGAGCGCGTGTGTGTGTGTCTCAAATTAAAAAATTTAATAATTCTATATGCATATTGTTCGTACTAAATCAGCATTATTTTTAGTTTTAATCTAACATATAAATTGATTCTATTATCATAATGTGTAAAAAAAAAATTTTCCTAATATCAATATGTTCATGGTTTATTTTATGAACTATGAACAATGCACATTCCATCACGTACAAATATTACATTAAAAGATAAAAATACAAAAATATAAATGCTTGGGTTAAAAATTGTTTAAGTATTTTTATGGAAAAAATAAAGAAAGTCAAGGTTGTGCTTGAATGGCTGATACTCATTAGTTAATATACATATATTTAGCTTTCATACAATCAGAAAACAAATATTAGTTACATATCAAAGAGAATAGAACAAATTAGTTTAGTCACTTTTTCACCTAAATACTGATTGCAATCATCAAATATGAACTATATTGACTGCTATATCTTGTTAATTTTTATAATAGTTGTTAAAAATGTTTATAAAAATATTTAAATAATTGAATGAATTATCTTATAATATTAATATTATGAAAATAATTTGATGTACTAATTGTATTATTTTATTATATTATTTTATATATTAATTTATTTATTGAATAAATGTACTAAATATATTAAATTGCAATCAGAAAAAATTCTAATATATTTTTTTTAAGTATTCATTAATTATAGTATTTACATACTATGTATTATCATAGCGGTATACATGACCAGCATACTTAATAATGTATGTACTATATAATTCTAATTCTATATCACAATGGTTGTCACAATGGTTGTCATTATAATCATCATATTTCACATAAGAAATCATATTGATTTATTTATAAAAATCATTAAAAATATTAATACAATAAATAATCATTCATACGTAATATTGGATATTTCTTTTATTACAATTAATCTATACCAGCAGATTGAGTTAAAAGTAAGGTCTTTTCAATATCAGAGCATAGTTTTTTTATACCATTAGGTGGAGCATATTCTACTGCTAAAATAGCAGTTGCTATTGCTATTGTTTCTTGAATAGTCCTTGCTTTGACCCAGACTCTACCATTCATACCAGCTGCAACTTCAAATGCTTGATTATGAGCAAGTGTTTTAAATAATGGTGAATTACGATTTAATATCTTTCTGATAAGACTCAAGGAACAAGTAAAAAGCATGCCTTCAGAGCTTAAAGCACCTAATTTCTTTTCTTTACCATGTGAATCTACACATACGAGTTCAGGTTCCATATCTTTACTAGCAACTAAAAGCTTAGCAAACACAAGATCTCCAACTTGAATATCAGGACGATTTTTTTTAGTAGCTCCTTCAAATGCTAAATAAGAAAGAGATGCTTGTTCACTAGCACCTATATCTACTTTGAAAATATCACCACCTTTTTGTGTTATTATACCAACTACATGTTCTCCACGATTTGGTACATATCTATAAGAAATAATATGCTATATATATTGTTATTTATAAATTTTAGTGAAAAATGATAAAAAAATTATATTCAAATAGATTTTAATTACCGTTTCTGATAACTATCAACATAATATACAGCTGGTTCTGTTTTCTTTAATATACCTGCTTTATATGCAAAGACTGTATCAGCTTCACGACGAAGCCCAGGTCCTAAAATAATCGTTTCTTTTTTGTTAATTATTGTAATATCTTTTATAGTATCACCAGGCATTACTACGTCTCCTATGTTAACTTCCATTATTCCTTAGAAGTAATTTTTGTTTTGCGTTATAACATAAATTCAATGTTGAAGGTTATAAACATATCATTTAATGCTATTTTTTCTTTTAAAATGTCAATAAAATTATTTATGAAATAAATATATTGCTTATCATTAAATTTATAAACATAAATTTATATGATAATATAAATTTTATATATTATACCATATTATATATATCACGAGTATCGATTCATAATAATCGATTATTAGTTTTCAACTAATCTCGCGCGTTTCTTTGAAAGAAAAAGCGACTGCGCAATGTAATTTACATAAATTGATGTAATCAATTAAACAAAATTTCTCTTAATATTATGAATATGTTGAAGGAATAGAATATAAAAAATAAATGTTATTTTATCTTTAATACTATTAAAACTTTTTATTTAATATAATTCAACTAAATATTTAGATAATAAAAAAAATTCAAACCAATTGTGAAATATACAAAACAATTATTTAAGTTCTACGCTCATATATAATGGTGGCGCCATCATACGGCATGTTACAAGGCTGCCGCATGAAACGATAACGCCACAAAAATCGTGGTGCTGGTTGTGTTTTTCGTTAATTTGTTTCATTTTGAAACGAATTCAAAAATCGACAGTTGTGTGGATGGCACAATAAGATTATCAGTGATTTCACTAATGTAAAGGTAATATTCTTTAATAATGCAAAGTGTATAATTGTGAAATTTGCGCAGCGTTCACCGGATCGATAATTGATTTACGTGTTCTATTCTAACCTACCTTCTCGTTCCCTACAAAGTTATAAGTTTAATCATTTTATATTGCTAATTAATTAATTGCAATTTATTTAAAATTTGAAATTAAATACTCAAAGAAATTCTATTAATATAATTTATAATTTTAATAAAGATGATCTTTATTCAGGTTTCTAAATGTAACCAATCTGTCTCTTGTATACTTACTGTCATTTATTGTCAAGATATTTATTAATCTAACATTTCTATTATGTATGGAAATTTTTCTGTGTTTTTTATATTTAATAAAAATATATGTATATAATAATATTTGTTTGAGATTTTTTGTAGTTTAATCTTAAAAATTTCTATCTTGACATAACAAGTTATTTAATTAATATGTAATTTAAATGATACTTGTAAAAATTTATTAATATATATTTCTATTAAACATATCAAATAATACAAATTTGAATTTTAAGTATTTATTGGTATTGAAATGTATTCTAAAATTTTTTTATATGTTATTATCTAGGTACAAAATGTATAATGGAATTGGATTACAAACACCACGAGGTTCTGGAACTAATGGACATGTCCAAAGAAATTGGGCAATTATACGTAAAACAAAAGATAAAGTTACTTATAAAACTGATGAAGGAAAATTAGATCAACTTAATAAGCAACCTAACAAAGAAATTTTAGATCATGTAAGAAAAAGAAAAGTTGAAGTCAAATGTGCAGAATTAGCAGATATTTTGGAGGAACAGGGGTAAGGAACAATATATGTTTTATATTTATAATATTATATTATATTTATATATAAATATATTTATATTATTTTATATATATATATAATAATATATTTATAATATTTATAATATTTATATATAAATTTTCTTTATTATTTTTTTCTTTATTATTATTGTAATCATAATTGCTTAATT